CTGGCTTGCATTTGGAAACTAAGGTACATAAGTATATATGTATATCTATAGTACGTATATATTAGAAGACTTAACACACCTCCGTCTGTTGTGTGAAAGTTTTGTTCTGAACAGGAAGGTAAGGATTATATTTCGTTTTCAACGCCTACAAACGAATTATATAATACAATTCTTAGCATCTATCAATACAATTAAGTAACTCAAATATTATATTTGTATAATTAATACGTCATATGTAGCTATGTCTAAACAACTGACAGTTATTTCAAAAGTACATTTAAATGTTCAGAAAAAAAGTCGTCTTATTATCAGTGCAATTTCCTTGATTTGCAATTGAAGAAACTTCCCACGATATTTTAAAAACGTTTAAATAAACTTGAATGAAATGACGAATATCGGTTAGGATATATATGAAGATTACTGTTTATATCCGATTTTTGCAAGTATTTTATAATAAAATATAAATCATGTATTTTAAGCTGATACTCGCTGCCTCCTTTACCTCACGCCCAACTGTTATCCAAGTCGACCCCTATCTAAAAACGCTTTAGGAATAAAACGCGTAGAACACTCCTGAAGGAATTAGAGGGTTCAGGGCAACTAATAAATAAATCGGTTAATGATAACCTGACCGGCCGATACCGTTACGTAACATTATGCTATACTACCTTCTGCCCGGGACTCCGCTCACAATAAAGAAACCTTATATAACACTCTTGTGATGACTTACCATTTAAATATTATAGAATACAAAGTACAATTTGACCAGTATGTATTAATTATGATTCATGTTAACTGGGACATGGTCTCAGACTGCCACAGTCAAGTCTCAAGTCTCCATTCTATAGACTGGTACCATCCATCGTGTATAGACTACAATTATTAAATCACGGACACGTTATAATGAGCACGGTCCAATGATTTGTGTCCTAGCCGTTTTAATGGCGGACATATTTAAAACGTAAACTTTTCCCTCGCTACCCACATTTCGGTAGTTAGAAAGGGGGGAAAGAGAAAAAAGGTCCTCCCGACGTGGGGTAAAAATTGCGTAGTTTTAGCTAATCTGCATGAGGGGGTTGTTTAAACTGGGACGGGGTGGTTTAGGCTTTTTAGCACAAAAATGAGGGCGGCGGGGCTCGGATGTATAATGCGAGGAATCTATTTATGTGTTGCGAGTCACGTGACAAGGATTTTGGTAATGAAACAGGACTTGAATTAAACAACTAGTATGCCGAGCTTTAGAAACTACCTGTAGAACTTCAATACATACATCGTCAAAAGAATCTGAATATGTTTTTCCTTTGATACTAGAAGATTAATTGATATGATCTCTAATTATATTTTAATGAATCTCCATCAAAAGTCACATATATAAGTATCATTATACTAAACTATTTAATCATTATAACCCCTCACAGAGCTCGCTGCCCGTGCTCCCGTCCCATGGTCACCCTATCCCCCGTTAATATCGGTTGCTATAGTGACGCGATTACTGCATTTACCGATTTTTCGTAGCTTTTTCCGTTGTAATCAAATGAGGTGCGACGTGTGGAAGGCTCTGGGGGTAGGGGGTCGGCCGGGGGCTGCGAGGGGCTGGGGGGGTGACACGCGTGTACTCAATTATCTGCAGTGAATCAATAGAGATGAGGGTAGTTGAGGACGCCTTTATGTTTATTTGGATGGTAATTTTTTTTTGGGTTCTCAAGCCCCTGTTTTATTGTCGTATCGTCGTTAAAGTTGTATGCGGCCAGATTCCTCGCTGTGATCTGTTCGTTTCCGTATTTGATGTCTTTGAAATGGTTGTCGAAGTTGTAAGATACAATTTCGCGCTCTGAAATTTGTACTATGGCAATTTTTCATCCTGCTTTAGTGGGTCTTTTAATTAGTTTTCCTTAAAGTTATAAAACAAATTAACACACCTACCGATTTAAGTTACATTTTTTTTCTAAAATATTGTTTATTTCTAGTATTAAGTTTATTATCTTTAACACAATTAGTATTATCATTGTTTTATATATTACTTTAAACTTATTATAGTAAACCAGAAATTATGTAATACATAACGAAGTCATTAGGATGCCATCTGTGTAAATATTCTCTTACTATTATTTCACAGATTTTACTATGTCCTTGAACCATCCCCTTACTAGTTTGTAAAAACTTTAGTAATTTTAACACCACCCCATAGATGGCGCTAATAGAAATAGACAATAAAATAATTCTCAATCGCCAAGTAGAGGGCACCATTCAAAATATGAAACAGAAAATAGGTCCAGAATATATACTTATACTATTGCTGGTACTATCTTCACTCTAAGTATAGTCACCTAAAGTATTCACCTTTTCGGTATGACTTACAAAACGGCAGAAAATACGACTAACTTTAGAAAAATTATACGCACATGAGATTAAAGAGAAAAAAATATTTGGATAACCAATTTAAAATTTTGAATTAAATAGGAGGAAATTGTTACATTATTTGTTTAAAATTTTGAGCGAAACCAAAATTCATACAATTTAAAAGTATTGAAGAAATTTTTACAATTTCGTTAAATATAAAATGTTTTGTAAAACTGTACAGAGGGCAAGGATACTATTTATTACTTTACTGAAATACAAATCAAAATAGTAAAAAAAATAATTAAAAAACAAAGTATATTCAAAACAATTTATTTATTTATTTTTCTTCTTATTTAAATGATTTAATAGTTTAAAATATTTAATTTAAATTCAAAATATTTTTTTGAATTATTTCAGATAAATAAATTAAGTAGGTATTTCGAATGCATAATGTGAGTTTCTGTTTTATATTTTGTACCTGAAATATTCATACCATATTCATATTATTTTATCTACATAAGATACATATGTAGTTAAAATAAATAATATTTCTGAACTTTCACAAAATATGTACGTTGTTATTAACATTTTTTATTTACCTCGGCATTGTCGGAACCGTCTTAGAATATTTGTATCTGGTGCATTGGAAAGACGAAACCTCTCATCTTTCAATGTATTCACCGTGCGGGCGCCGGGTCCATCGCGTTGCAGGGAGAGGAGCCTCAACAGTGCCTGGGACTTGCGACCCAAGTGTAGGTTTAAGGGGCCCCTTAACTAACACGCATTAAACGCTCATCTCAACCGTCCAAGCTCCTCTCTCTACCTAACCAAATTTGAAACGAACCTACTAGAGCTGACTTTAAAGTAAGTTCCAAGAATGAATTGATATATTTCAGGACAGCCCCAAGTTTTTTTGTAGGTTGTAGAGTGATTTAGCTGGTATATGGTAGGTACTCATAGTCCATCTTCTACTGCAACCTATTTCGAGTTAGTTTGTTAGTGAGCTTGTCACACTTATTGACCTCGATGGCATGGTCTTTGGGGATTATGGTGATTGGTGAACTATAATCTCTATAAAAAACAAAAGATATAATAAAACATCCTCTTTTTTATTAACTTTTTTCACACAAGGGACTCAGAAAAAACCTCAGATATTTTTCAAATTAATTTAGTCGAAAACCAAATAATTGGAAATGAGAAAAAAAAACGCAAAATAAAATAATAATTTATATATTTCATCATTATAATCTAATATTCTTGATTTCACATTTACAATAGAATAAATAGCACTTAATCCAACGAGATAGAATTCAATTTTGCTTGGCACAATATTCGTTAAATTTAGGACGGCACTAATAATAAAAAAATATAGCCTACGAAATAATAATACATTACAATTAAAATAAAATATTTATAATAAAATAAAAACAGCTTTAAATAGAACTTAATACAAAGTTAAATGATAAATATAATATTTACTTTTATTGATAAATATAAACTTTCATTAAATATTGGAACACAAATGAGACCTATAATAACAAATTTAACTTGATCGAGGTCAATTTGATTACATTACAATATGATCTTCATAAAAAAACAAAAATACACAATCATCGGAAAGAGAAGCGTCGTTTAAAAATCATTACATCTGTCAACTATGTTAGTTACTCTTCAACTGTGTTTGGTGTTATTTATTATTTACCACAAGTTATCTACCTTACAACTAACTTAATATTTAACATTTCCATACGACTAAAATTAAAACAGAATCATTTTCTAGTCGACATCTGTACACTAACTATAAGTGTATGCTGGTACGTCACACTACATACGTAGCGTGTTCAGTTAGTAACTTTAAAACCAACGTTAACACTATGACATGGGAAGATTTACGATTAGAAGACTGGAATGTAGTTTGATCATGCTAATTTGTAGTAAGAATACATCTCAAATATTTAAAAATGTTTAAATATGTATTTGAACATTAAATATGATTGAGCAAAACAATATTCTTTTCAAATGAATATAAAATCCAATTTTTTTTGATGAGCAATTGTTTTGTATGAAGAAAAATGACTATAAAAACATATCGTTACCAAGTAAAAATTTACTAAAATTAAACAGTAATTGTTTTATGTTCATAATAAAATTAAAATAATCTTACTACGTGGGTCACGTCTACATAATAATTGTTTATACGAGCTACATCTACTTATGAGATACGGAACATTGACAATTTGCCGAAATAAATTCATTTACACGTACTTACAGTTACAGGCATAACTGAAATAATAGAAAACTTCTTATAACCGAAAAACATATATAAAATTCTTAGAGGAAATATTACTTTACTTTGTTGTTAACTTATTACACATTGACAATAAGACTATCTATGTAATAGTAACAATGTATAGACGAACAGACAAACCAACAAAAATATGTATCAGAAGCTTAGAGCAAGCTAACTAGTCATAATTTTTATTTATACTAAGTGTGACGCCACGAGGGCCGCACGTATTAAATACAAACAAAATATAAAATCCTTCACTTTTCACTTATAATATGACATACAATTTCTGATAGCACATCAGCTAGTACAGAATACCTTCGAATTCTTCGATCACATAGTAACATTCTATATACAATATAAATAAATTAAATTAACTGGTAGTATCAGACTTCGCTTCAGCTTCCTCTGTGATGGTGATCATGGGAGGAGCATCAAAACTACATTCACCAGGAGATATCTCATTAGTGAGCTTCTCAAACTTTGATCCAGCCTGAATGGACTCTAAGATATTAGTTTTGATAGTTGGTAACGAACCCCGCTTGCCTTTCCAAGCCTCCTTGTGAGCGTCCTCGTAAATAGGCTCCATTTTAGATATTTTTGATTCATCTTGTGCACTGGATGGTAGACTATCAGCTCTACTGAACGATGGCTTCTCCATGTTTTCCATCATGGGCACAGCAACACCGTTTTCTAATTTCTTTTCCTTCTGATCGTGCAGTTTCAACAGGCTCACCTCTCGTGCTTGAACATCTGATAATAAAGGTCCGTCCGTGGACCCTTCGATGCAGTATCCCGGGCCCTGTAATGCGTCGCTCCCTATGATGGAGTCTTGTTTAAATATCGCTGCGGTCACGACAGGTTTGTCCGGATCGGTCGGAGTCTTTCCGATGAGTGGTTCCTGTGAACTGTCGTGGACTATCGCATCCCCGAGGTCGTCTTTGGAGGTTTCGTATCCAGCGTACACTGGGTATCCAAATGGGCCCTGATCGTATCCCATTTGACTGCCGTATGAGTAACTAACGTTATGGGAACCGATCGAGGACATACTGAGATCAGATATCGACAGTCCCGTACTGGATAACGCGAGCGCTCTCTTTTCGAACTTTTCGCTGCTTCTTTCACTGTCCTCTTCCATTATAATCTTCCTGTCCAGTTCTTCTGGTACGCGATGAATCAACGCCTGATTTGTGGATATTTGAGGGTCATGGTGTGGAGAAGATACATGTGATTTGATGGGTCTATATCCAGCTGATTGTTGTACCTCAACGACGAATATACCGTCGTTATCAGGGGAATACTTCATCTTGGTTTCTCGACCGTTCTTGGTGATGTCCTGTAAAATAGTAAAGGGTTAAATTAATAATAGTTTTATACAATCTTTACTTATATTAGATATGGCATCACATTACATTTCTCTCCTCAGTTTCCACAATGAGGTGATTGTTTTTGAGGGTCATGGTGAAGATGGAGCCGTTCGCCGGCGGGGTCCCCGCTTCTCCTGTGTCGTCCGGGGACTTCAACTGCAATAACAAATATTATTTCGATAATATTAATGATAAACATTGAAGTAGTACTCATGCAAATTAAACTGTCGAAAATAGTTACTTAAATTGAGTCCCAAAATTTAAAGTAGATTTGAATTTCAATACCATTTGTACAGCAAAGTCTTGGCTAACTTAAATCTCAATATATATTTATATGTATTAATATCTCACTATATTATAAAATATTGTGTTAATTTTCGATCTTCCAATATAAGAATGTAATGAATGTTATCTTCTATATATATAAAAATGGATTGCTGTTCCTTAGTCTCGCTAAAACTCGAGAACAGCTGAACGGATTTATCTTATCTTAGTCTTGAAATGTTCGTGGAGGTTCAGGGAAGGTATAAAAGCTGAAAAAAAATATTATTTACTGGGAAAACCATAAAAACAGCCCTTTTATATTTCCCATACAAACGTTTTTTTTGACATTAGATTTGACAACTAACTAATATGTCAATCATTCTGTCACACTTCAAAACACGGAGATTTATGGCTTACAGATAAACTCCAAAAATATAAATAAAAAAACGTTATAGATACTTCTTGATTATAGGGCGATACGAAGTTCGCCAGGTCTTCTAGTACTTTATAATTATATTAACCTCAATTTAATAAAAAAACATTTGAATACAATATTTTGAGATTTCATAATGACCTCTAATCTATTGATCAATAAATCGCTTTATGGTAAAATGTTCAATGTTTTAACAAAAAATAAAAAAAATAAAAGGTACTTTTGTATTAAACTCTATTCTATAAAAGGATATATATTATTATTATTAGCAAAACAATAATAAAGCACGTCTTTATTCGTCCATTCACATTTATACAATCTAAAAATAGATTTTGTTGTTTGTTTCAACTAAAGAAGCGCAAAAAAAGGGAAATATTGTATTTTTATAAAAATTAAATCTATAATTAACTCTGCAAATTTTTGCAAAAAATTTTGGGTAATATAAATATTATTAATACATATTTAATAAAAAAATATAGAGAATATTTGTGCGTCAGCCTCCAAGCCAGACGTATTTATGTATTCGCTAAATTTAAAGCGCTTTGTGGTAATAGAGAAACCTAATAGATGATAATAGGAAATAAGATGTGATAATAGGAAACTGATAGGACAAAGAGTATGCCATCAAAGTCAATAAGTATTACGAGTTCATTCACGAAACCACTCAGAATAGATTCGTCGTTTATTTGTACCCAGTAGAAGTGGGAGCGGATAATTCCCAAAGAGGGTTGATGTCAATCGTAAAAACTATTAGCCAAAACTAATTACAACATATAAGGCAGACCCTGGCAAAAACTGGAAAATTGACAGGAAGAAGAAGAAGAAGTGGGAGTGAAAGGTAAAACAGCTAAATTTCTCTACAGCCTACTAAAAGACTTAAGCCTGTCCAGAACTAATATCAATTCATTTTTGAAACGTACTTCGAAGCAGCCCTAGTAGGTTTTTTTCAAATTTGGTAACATAGAACCTCTGCCTGACCCAACACCCGCACGGTAAATCCATTTAAGGCTCTTTATAATTTAATCTCTTATAGCTTCTATTCAAGAAATGACTTTTAGCGAATAACATATTTTTGACTGTATGTATCTTCTATATATATAAAAATGGATTGCTGTTCCTTAGTCTCGTTAAAACTCGAGAACGGCTGAACCGATTTGGCTAATTTTAAGTCTTGAAATACTCCTGGAAGTCCAGGGAAGGTTTAAAAGGTGAGAAAAATTGCAATAATTGCGGGGAAAACCCTAAAAACAGCTCTTTTCTATTTCCCATACAAACGTTTTTTTTTGACATTAGATTTGACAACTAACTAATATGTCAATCATTCTGTTTGATTGAAACAGTAAAAACCTGATTATTTATGGCCTCTAAGACGGAATAGAGTTCGCCTGGTCAGCTATACCTACATATATCACTCTTGACCAAACTAACGCGGACGAAGTCGCGGGCTAAAACTAGTTAAATATAAAAAAGGCAATAATTCAGAAGACAAAAAAGAAATCATATTTATATAAAAGTAAGTATCAAAATATTAAGATAAAAGATACAAATAATGAACCCGACGCGACGAGAAGGTTCTAGTTCGCCCACGATCACAAACACATACAAAACAAATGACTTCCTTAAAAGATAGATTGTTTATAACTATATTAAACATCTTTGTACTGGTAAAAACGTAAGTGTCTTTTAATTACACAAAGGACTCGTCTCGCCTACTGTAATTTGGTTGGCTTAGAAGCAATTAAAACGTATGTAAAACGTTAATTAGTAAATAATATTAGTTAAATCTGATAAACACATTTTTTTGTACTGAAATTTTAACACCATTAAAACTTAATGTTTTTCTAATAGATGACAAAGTTTTTTTAATTACATTAGAATTTCCACACTAATAAATGTATCATAGATCCTGTATTGACGGCAGTGGGATGTAGTTCTATATGTATATTGTATAGGACATGTAAAGATGATTCACGTAGCATCAATATGAATAAGTTCATTAATAAAGTCACCTTCGCTAGTGCAGGAGGTCGCTGGCCGGTCGTCGGCCGCGGTTGTTTCGACTGTATTATTCGTCGGTCGCAGCCTCCCGATCGAGTTGCGCTTTTTAGATGCACCTACTCTCACCGTACGACTATCTAACTAACGAACACGAGTGCTGTGGAGTCGAACGAACTATATTCTTATACATTTAAATTTCATTTCAGAGACTTAACTCGTTGATGGTAGGCTACTTCATGGTTTTTTTTAGAAACTATAATACTTTAATCTTATATACATACTGATTATGTATACGATATTTTTGTATGTATGTCTGTATTTTTGTATTTTCCAAACGGCAGCTCAGAATTCAATAGTAACTTTATCGTCAAATCTGTACTTAAAAATCCTAGCGATACTTTTTTGTGAAAAAATATAAAATATTAAACAGATAACAATAACTTTATGGTTGAAATATTTCATGATATTTAAAGTCGTTTCACGTGGAGGCTGTAAGTCTTATAGTCTTAAGATAATTTGTTTTAAGGCATTGGTTGCACAGAAAAATATATAAAGAGTGCTTAGAAACTACTTAACCAGGTATTGTAATCAAACTGCCAGCGCCACCTGTCATCTATGTTACGTGACTTCATACATTAATACTACTGTGCAGTATGTGCAGTTATCCTATTCCAAATGTCATGATAAATCATATAATATATGTTATTCTGATATCTAAGCTACATTACTGGAAAAACTTTATAAAAACTTATTCAGTAGTTTTTGCTTACCGAGTCGAAATATCCATCTGTATACTTCATGGAAAATTTTCGCAAATTTGACACTTTTCCATTTGAAACGGTATATTCGGGTTTTGCTACTTTAAAACACAAACATTTGTTTTTAGGGCTCCATATTGTTCAAATATGTGCAGTTCAAATATTTACTTTAGAAGTAGGTTTAAACTGTTCATGTATTTGTTTGAATATTTGACCTTCCTCAATCCAACAAGTAAAGGTTGTTGATCTACACAAAAACTGTGATTTCATTGCATCGTGTAACGTTAGGTCAATCACCTATGTACAAAACAATAGTATTGGAATAATACATACATAATATAAACTGAATACTAAGAATAGACAAATAAATTAATTAAAACATACATTTTAAATATAAAGTACAATTAGTGGATGGTGCATACATGAAGACAATTTGAAAAGTCAAAGAAAACTAATGAAATTATGTATGGCTTCAAATTAAAAATTGTTAAATTATTGTCAATTCTTTTTTATATAATATCTTATATGTAATATATTAAGTAGGTATATATATTCTGAAGTGCTTATTGAACTACCGGGGCACCAATAAAAGTGTGGCATCCGCTTTACAAATATTTGTTTAAGCCTTCGCAAATATCACAACGATTTGGGAACCTCGAAATTTAGCAACTTTCCAATAAGGACATAACGTTTTAATAGCCATGCTTATAACTAACAATATTTGTATCTGAAATATCTTTTATCCCATATAACCTCCACGCATGTATTGTCCTGCTCGAGGCTCACAGTACATTGCACTATACAAGCCCGTCTGACTAGATTTTTGGCAGCCCTGCCCCTCACCCCTCACCCCGCCGCACTCCTGCAGCGAATTCTTTTATGAGTTTTTGACGACTTAGGCCTTTTTTGGCCATCAACCTGAATAGGCCTTAGGTTTTCTTTGTACGCTTCGCTTTTTAACAACGTTCAACATATAAAATAACTTTATATGTTTTGTTTTTATGATGAGTGATAAATTTAAATGTTTAAAGACTGTGAACATGTAAATAATTATAGTCAGATATAATGAAAAACCGCTTGTTTCGTGATAAATTGTAAGTACAGTAGAGGAGAGTTCAGTCGTTCATTCGCGAGCCGTAACTAGTGGCTTGTTATATAACAGATTAAGTTATAATTCTCCTTTTGGGATGCTGCAGCAGAACACGCCCAGTGCTGCGGAGACGGCAGCGTCAGCAGAAAAAAATATACGAATGAAATAATATTAAAATCTCCTACAAGAAAATAATAAAGTGGCAACTAAATAGTACTTTGAACTAAAGGATATCAAATTCTCAGTAAAGTGTATGATTGCATATTTTTGTATATTCTTTATTTGCTGGACAACGTTATTTGCAGTTTTTTTTTTTACCATTAAAAGTGTACGTAAAGTTTATTACCCGCCTAATCATCTTAGAAATCGACAAAGAAGAAATATAAGTCAATAATCCCACAGAGAAACTAAGATATTTTAACAAACCAATAATATTTTTTTGCGGACGCTACATAGATTCCAATGGTCCTTGGATTATTGAACTCCAGTACACGGAAGGAATTATACAATACGGAGCACGTATTATTATTACGTAGTTAATTGATAACTACATGAAGACAAGAACTACTTTATATAGACTTATTGTAGATGAAAACCGGACTCTCCCTTCAAG